ACACGCTCGGATGATTATCGCCAAGTGTTTTTAGTCTAATCTCGAGTGATTTGTTAAACATTGGTAGAGCGTCGTCATGCTTGCCTTGATTCCAATAGACACCACCAATGTTGTTATACGAGTCGGCAACACTCGGATGATTGTCACCAAGTGTCGCTAGTCTTATCTTGAATGATTCGTTATACGATGTTAGAGCGTCATTATACTTGCCTTGATTCCAATAGACAGTTGCAATATTATTATATGAGTCGGCAACGCTCGAATGATTGTTACCATAAGTTACTAGTCTAATGTCGAGTGATTTGTTATACATCGATAGAGCGTCGTCATACTTGCCTTGATGATCATAGACGAGCGCAATGCTGTTATAAGAGTTGGCAAGATTTGGATGATTTTCACCTAGTGTTTCTTGTCTAATCTTGAGTGATTTGTTATACATTGATAGAGCGTCGTCATACTTGCCTTGATTGTTATAGACAAGCGCGATGTCTTTGTATGACTCAGCTACACTCGGATGATTATCGCCAAGTGTTTCTTGTCTAATCTTGAGTGATTTGTTATACATTGATAGAGCGTCATCGTACTTGCCTTGATTCTTATAGACAAGCGCAATGTTGTTATAAGACTTGGCAACTTTCGGATGATTGTCGCCAAGTGTTTCTTGTCTAATCTTGAGTGATTTGTTATACATCGATAGAGCGTCATCATACTTGCCTTGATTCTTATAGACACTTCCTATGTTGTTATATGACGTAGCAACACTCGGATGGTTGTCGCCAAAAGTTTCTAGTGTAATGTTGAGTGATTTGTTATACATTGATAGAGCGCTATCATGCTTGCCTTGAGTATCATAGACAAGCCCAATGTTGTTATATGAGTTAGCAACACTCAGATGATTGTCACCAGTTGTTTCCAGTGTAATGTTGAGTGATTTGTTATACATTGATAGAGCGCTTTCATACGTACCTTGATTATAATAGACACCTCCAATGTTGTTATATGATTCCGCAAGGCTCGGATGATTGTCGCCATGAGTTTCTAGTCTAATCTTGAGTGATTTGTTATACATTGATAGAGCCTCATCATACTTGCCTTGATGATGATAGACACTTGCAATGTTGTTATATGAGTCGGCAACGCTCGGATGATTATCGCCAAGTGTTTTTAGTCTAATCTCGAGTGATTTGTTAAACATTGGTAGAGCGTCGTCATACTTGCCTTGATTCCAATAGACACCACCAATGTTGTTATACGAGTCGGCAACACTCGAATGATTGTCACCAAGTGTCGCTAGTCTTATCTTGAATGATTCGTTATACGTTGTTAGAGCGTCATTATACTTGCCTTGATTCCAATAGACAGTTGCAATATTATTATATGAGTCGGCAACACTCGAATGATTGTTACCATAAGTTACTAGTCTAATGTCGAGTGATTTGTTATACATCGATAAAGCATCGTCATACTTGCCTTGATTCTTATAGACAAGTGCGATGTTGTTATATGACTCGGCAACACTCGGATGATTATCACCAAGTATTTCTTGTCTAATCTTGAGTGATTTGTTATACATCGATAGAGCGTCATCGTACTTGCCTTGATTCTTATAGACAAGCGCAATATTGTTATAAGAGTCGACAATTTGAGGATGATTATTACAAAGGGTATTCAGTCTAATCTTGAGCGATTCGTTATACATCGATAGAGCGTCGCCATACTTACCTTGATGATCATAAACAGTTGCAATTTTGTTATATGAGTCGGCAACACTCGGATGATTATCGCCAAGTGTTTCTAGTGTAATCTTTAGCGACTTGCTATACATTGATAGAGCGTTGTCATATTTGCCTTGATTATCATAGACAAGCGCGATGTCTTTATATGACTCGGCAACACTCGGATGATTGTCGCCAAGTGTTTCTTGTCTAATCTTGAGTGAATTGTTATACATTGATAGAGCGTCATTGTACTTGCCTTGATGATCATAGACAAGTGCAATGTTGTCATATGAATCGACAACATGAGGATGATTATCTGCAAGTGTTTCATGTCTAATCTTGAGCGATTTGTTATACATCGATAGAGCGTCGTCATACTTGCCTTGATGATCATAAACAGTTGCAATTTTGTTATATGAGTCGGCAACACTCGGATGATTATCACCAAGTGTTTCTAGTGTTATCTTTAGCGACTTGCTATACATTGATAGAGCGTTGTCATACTTGCCTTGATTATCATAGACAAGCGCGATGTCTTTATATGACTCAGCTACACTCGGATGATTATCGCCAAGTGTTTCTTGTCTAATCTTGAGTGATTTGTTATACATTGATAGAGCGTCATCGTACTTGCCTTGATTCTTATAGACAAGCGCAATGTTGTTATAAGAATCGACAACATGAGGATGATTATCACCAAGTACTTTTAGTCTAATCTTGAGCGATTTGTTATACATCGATAGAGCGTCATCATACTTGCCTTGATTCTTATAGACACCTCCAATGTTGTTATATGACGTAGCAACACTCGGATGGTTGTCGCCAAAAGTTTCTAGTGTAATGTTGAGTGATTTGTTATACATTGATAGAGCGCTATCATGCTTGCCTTGAGTGTCATAGACAAGCCCAATGTTGTTATATGAGTTAGCAACACTCAGATGATTGTCACCAGTTGTTTCCAGTGTAATGTTGAGTGATTTGTTATACATTGATAGAGCGCTTTCATACGTACCTTGATTATAATAGACACCTCCAATGTTGTTATATGATTCCGCAAGGCTCGGATGATTGTCGCCATGAGTTTCTAGTCTAATCTTGAGTGATTTGTTATACATTGATAGAGCCTCATCATACTTGCCTTGATGATGATAGACACTTGCAATGTTGTTATATGAGTCAGCAACGCTCGGATGATTATCGCCAAGTGTTTTTAGTCTAATCTCGAGTGATTTGTTAAACATTGGTAGAGCGTCGTCATGCTTGCCTTGATTCCAATAGACACCACCAATGTTGTTATACGAGTCGGCAACACTCGAATGATTGTCACCAAGTGTCGCTAGTCTTATCTTGAATGATTCGTTATACGTTGTTAGAGCGTCATTATACTTGCCTTGATTCCAATAGACAGTTGCAATATTATTATATGAGTCGGCAACACTCGGATGATTGTTACCATAAGTTACTAGTCTAATGTCGAGTGATTTGTTATACATCGATAGAGCGTCGTCATACTTGCCTTGACTATCATAAACACCACCAATGTTGTTATATGACGTAGCAAGACTCGGATGATTTTCACCAAGTGTTTCTAGTGTAATCTTGAGTGATTTGTTATACATTGATAGAGCGTCGTCATACTTGCCTTGATTCTTATAGACAAGTGCAATGTTGTTATATGACTCGGCAACACTTGGATGGTTATCGCCAAGTGTTTTTAGTCTAATCTTGAGCGATTTGTTGTACATTGATAGAGCGTCATCGTACTTGCCTTGATGATTATAGACAAGCGCAATGTTGTCATATGAATCGACAACATGAGGATGATTATCGCCAAGTGTTTCTTGTCTAATCTTGAGCGATTTGTTATACATCGATAGAGCGTCGTCATACTTACCTTGATGATCATAAACAGTTGCAATTTTGCTATATGAATCGGCAACACTCGGATGATTATCGCCAAGTATTTCTAGTGTAATCTTTAGCGACTTGCTATACATTGATAGAGCGTTGTCATACTTGCCTTGATTATCATAGACAAGCGCGATGTCTTTATATGACTCAGCTACACTCGGATGATTATCGCCAAGTGTTTCTTGTCTAATCTTGAGTGATTTGTTATACATTGATAGAGCGTCATCGTACTTGCCT